GAAAAACATATTGCTAAGAGGGATGTTTCTGCCAATTTCAAAAACCAATGACAACCATAACTGCAAATGTTCATTCAACGACTTGCAAGTTTTAACTAATTAGCGTAAATTAGCAAAGTTTTATAATACATGTATCATGATTTCTGTATTGTTTTGAAACTTAGAAGTTGTCATGTTTCTACTCATGTAGGTAGTTATTACTCACGGAGTGGTGTGCTGTGTTATCCAATCAATTTCTATCCCATGAGTAGTGCGCCCTCTATGGTATGATGTGCTATTCGCAATTGTTCCTTGCTGTAATGTAACTATAGTGATAAATCACTGGTGTCATTGACACAATACTAAATCATACTTTGATAAAGTAATCTTAAAAAAACATCTTACTATATATTGTTATGGAATTTAGTTAAATGAAAATAACATTTGATAGACAAAATAAGTGTAAATACAAGGAACTTAATTGGAGGACAAAACATTTTAGTTTGCGCCTATACAGCCACATACAATTTCTTGGGGTGTGTAGCTAGTTATCAGACAGAAACAAACTCAATGTGCCTACCCCTTTTCAGACAAACTGTGGATATTTGACACCCCTTTCCAGACAGTAAGCATAAATGGTACCAAGGGAAAAGCTCCTGGGGATGGACTTTAACAATCAAAATGAAGTTAGCTCAGCTTCATTCTCCTGATTGTTGGATCACTCAAGCTCTAGAGACGGTCTTTTGAAAATATGGACCCCTTTTCCGACAGAAATAATGAAAAAAGGATACCCCTTTTCAGACAGACAGGGTAAAATTACATAGCCCTTTTCAGACAGAACTGGTGAATTTGGGACCCCTTTTGGCAGCACATATACCGGGTGTACATATAGCACTTAAATGTGAGTAAAATCAACTGTACACAGATGCCTTTCACACAAAAATAATAATAAATGTTGTCCACATCTTTCTTTTTTAATAATATTGACCAAATTTGTAATTACATGTACTTCTATTTTGTCTAAAATAACAAATTATTGAATGTATGAAATATGAAAAACATTGCTCGAAAATGTATGCATAAAAAATTATGGCATGAACATAGACAATTGTAAGATAATATTCTATCACAAGTAAATGATTTTATTGTAAAACATGCAATATTGTAACTAACAAATATATGAATACACAACATTGTAATGTAAATATGTATTTGTAATCACCTGCTATATTGAAAACACATTCACTTGTATCACAGAATTTGTGATCAGTGTGCATGTGATCTTGAATATTAAGAAAATACAAATAGAATGCTCAGCTGCTCAAATATCCTATAAATAATTTTAAAGCCAAAAACTTAAGCATCTATCATTATAAAACATCTTTTTTTAAATAGTTATAATGGTCTGAAATTTCAAAAAACTTGATACAAGTTTTATTACATCTTTTGAGCAAAATATGGCATGTTCCAATGCAATGTTTTTTTTGTTTTTTTTTAGATATCACTAAAATGTTAAACCATTCTTATTTTTTAGTACAAGAGAATTTTTCTGTAACCAATGAAACTACAGAAATGTACCTGAACATAGATTAGGAAAGTTTGGGTATGCAATACTAATATTTCTGGAATGTATAAAAAAAAGACTACAATACATATATTTCCTGCATTTTTAGACATGTTTCCACGGCAATGTTTTTTTTAGCTATGACATAATTAAAATATTAATTAAAACTTTTTTTATGTAAGAAAGTTTGGTTATAAAAAGGGGTCACTGTGTCTCCATGCAAAAGTTTACATATGGGTTACTCAACTACAATTGTATTATTTTTTTGGTAAATATTTAAAAATAACAGGTCTAATAAATCAGTAAAATATTTGAATATGGTTTTAAAAATCATTCTTATATAAAATAGTACATTTTAAAAATGTTTATATAATCTATAAGTTGATTCAATACATATCCCAGATATGGTTACAGGTGCAACAACACCTACTTTATAGTCACACATGTGACGGATATATAACAGGGAATATCCCTTTACAGGTGCATTGTCTGCTATATTTTGTTGGAAATCATTTACATATAAAGTAACCTTTGCAATGAACAAAACTCAATAAG